CATCCAGCTCTACACCTTGTTATCTCATATTCTTGTTGCAATTGTGATGGGAGGAATGCACTGATAATCCAGCCCACTGCTCCCATCATTGGTAAAGGTAAAGTCAGCATAGTCCTACCAGACCATTGGCCTGCTGCCTCATCAGAGAGAGATGACTGGTGGTAATTTAACTGGAGGGTCACCACACCTCTGGTGAGGGGAGAGATCCAAAGGAGATTCTTTTGTGGTAACCTCAAGCTAGTGTGAGATTGATCCCACTCTGGCGCCACTCTTTAGTGCAAGCCAGCCAGTCAGCCAACTGAGTTAACTCATCCCCATACACCATTAAATACAAATTTGTTGTTTGAACTACCTAAATTGTTAATTGCTTTTCCTTTGTACTGCAATCCGGATTAAAAGAATCAATCCACCAGGTTTATTTAATGAACTTAAATTAATCTATTTATTATGAACAAAACTTATTCTTAAGGCAAATGGCAAACACTGGTTAACCAGTGGATCATAGAGTTATCCCCTTAATCCCACAGACACACTCATGCACAACACAAAAAGATATCTTTTCATGGATTGTTTGTTTTAAAAACTAAAGGAGAGAAACTATCCCTGTCGGAAAAGGGACTGGAAATAAAGGATAAAATGTGATGTCTTATACCATAGATTGATGATAGGCATTCGGTTCTCGGTACAATTGACTTGGTTTCAAGTCCTTGGGAATTGGTCACAGTCACTTCTTCTAGTTTTACCAGGTAGACAGAAATATTGGTAGTTAGAAGGTTTCCAAGAACTTGTCCTGAGAAAAGGATTTCAGGAAAGAATCACTGAGCTTCGAGGGCGTCTTCTTTACACGTGCTCCAGTGTCTGCAATACAGGATTCAAGCCCAAAAAAAGTTGCAGGGAAACCATTAGCAGGCAATAAATTTCATCTCTTATCTCTTGAAAACTTTGCATGTCTTTTCTCCAAAGTCACTTGTCAGCAGGTAAACCTGACAACACATTTTACTGTTGGTTTCATTTCCAAGAAATCATGTACAAATTCCTTTCAATCCACAGAACATCCAAGTGGTTCAAAATCTTCCAGTTTTCTCAAGTAGTCCTTAAATATTTACAACATCTTCTTCAGCTTGGTCATTTTCTCTTACTCTCTTTGGACCATTCTTATGTTCTGAAATTCCACAATTTGCAGAAGAACATAACAATAAGACCTTCCCAAAGCTAGCATAAATGTTCTGTACTGTTTGTAGACTTTTATCATTGTTTCCATTCATACAGAAATTCTTCACTGGAATATAATTTCGTTCATATTAACAAAACATTCAGAATTAACGCTGTTTGCATTCTGATTTGATTGTACTGCTCACCACATGATATTGGAGTCTGATGTTCAGGAAAAGGTGCCAGAATTCGACAAAAGAATTCTATCACTGTAACGCATTCCATGCCAACCCAAACGGGCAAAAATGTTTCAAAGATTAATATTTCTGAAATGCAAGTTAAACAAAAGGAAAGTAGTCAAAACAAACTAGAAATTGGTCAACTTCTTTAAGGCAAAGGACTTTTATTCCTTAGATAGTTTGCCTTCATTGAATTTGGCAATGCATGAAAGCAAATTGTTTTGAACATTTTCATACAGTTTAATGTTTTCAGCCCAAATTTTACCATTTATAGGTTTGTGTTTCAATGGCATGCAGTCTTACATTTGTTTTTCATAAACACCACATGAGCATATATTTAAAGGTTTATGGGAGATTCCTGGACATTTCCTTCCACTTACAAAATAGGGTCACTATTGTGGCATTGATTAACTTGTCATGCAACCGTTTGAAATTGAATATGATTATATAAACGACATTTCTTCCAGTTTCTCTTCTAATTTACCATTTACGTGTTGCTTTCTCTAGCTCAATTGACTTTAGCTTTCAGCTTAACATAATGTCTCAATTACTGTACAAAGTAAGATGCCAGATTTATAAGTAATTTCTGATATCTGTTCTGTAGGTAAACCTGCTGTCTCCCAGATGCTGAGATAACAAGGTGCAGAGCTGGATGAACACAGCAGGCCAAGCAGCATCAGAGGAGCAGGCAGGCTGATGTTTCGGGCCTAGACCCTTCAGCATTACATCATAGAAAGACAATACAGACTTTCCTAAAATGTTTGAAGATATGATATGTTGAACTCACACAGCTTTGTCTTTGGGAAGGATAATATGAAGTATTCTATGGAGGGATTGTTTTTATATGAACAATGACAATTGTATCTAAAGCTTTCTGTCTTCAATTAGAGAAAACCTGTCTCAAGGGGTTTTGTAAGTCAATTCTTGCCGGTTTCAGGCTAAATCAATCAATCTCCTGGGGATGACCAAATATTTGTTAATTGCATTAGAAATTTTCCAAAAAAAAAGTGAAGAATTGTATGTCACAGCTGCCTGTTAAAGATTATTGAAAAACATGAGCTAGGTATGTCTATTAAAATGTAATGTTTACATATGTATGCAAAAGTCTGTTCTCACTTTGCTCAGATCAAACCTAATGGTGAGAAAACAAAATGCAAGCAGAAAATGGAACTTGATGCATCGGTGGAATTCCTACATACCATTTTCCACAGAGTACAGTTGAATGATGTGAACATGGGAAAATTCCTGACGTTAGAAGTGGAAATTGCCTGGCAGGAGATGGCAAAGAAAGTTCACTTTCATTGGCAATGTCATCGCTTTGGCCCACCTTGACAGCAGGTATCCTTGTAACTGAGGACACAGATTTGCAACCGGTAGCGCACTGACCTTAATCAGTCCCTCACTATCTTTGCACCATAGATATCACAGAAATTATAGAGATCACTGACATAATGTATAATATCTGGCTGTGGTGCCTGTGATCTTTGTGACACAATTAATTTCCTCCTGAATTACTTCATGCAATACTCAGGCTGTAGCACTACAGCTCCATTGTTAATTTTAGCCTTGATTTTGCAATTGTAAATGACCTTTTTCTTGGTTGCTCTGACAAAAGTTAGTATTGCAAAATTTACTTTTACATATACCCTGGTTTCTTTTTTAATTTTGTTGATTTGAAGTTTTCTAAGTGTAGCTCATTTGCCAACAATAGACTTACCTCAAACATTTGTAAATATGATACATCAAACTCCCACAGCTTTGTCTTTGGGAAGGATAATATGAAGTATTCTATGGAGAGATTGTTTTTATATGAACAATGACAATTGTATCTAAAGCTTTCTGTCTTCAATTAGAGAAAACCTGCCTCAAGGGGTTTTGTAAGTCAATTCTTGCCAGTTGCAGGCTAAATCAATCAATCTTCTGGGATTTCCTGGGAACCCATCTGGTTCACTAATGTCCTTTAGGGAAGGAAACTGCCATCCTTACCTGGTCTGGCCTACATATGACTCCAGACCCACAGCAACGTGGTTGACTCTTAACTGCCCTCTGGGTTATTAGGGATGGGCAATAAATGCTGCCTAGCCAGTGGCACCCTCATCCTGTGAACGAATAAATAATATTTTATTATTTTGCGTTCTCTATGAACATTATGTACCATTAGGAGAAATTTTTAAAAAATGGTTGAATTATTTCCCATTAATATGGAAACATAAATAATAGAAGTCTATCCTGAAATGTGCGGTAGAAAAATAACACTTTATTCAATGTTTGCCTTTAATTCAGGTTGTGAATTCATGGTGAAATCCTAATATGACTTGCCC